AAAATGGGGTGTTCCATTTAAAAAAATTAATGTGACCTTGACCTGACCTTCGCTACGCAACCCAAGGTCAAACTGATGTGATCAGTAAATACATCTTTTTAAACGCCACAACTTTTGTCTGAAACATTTTTTTGTAAAACTTATATTTTTCCTGATATTCGGGCGTCCCGGTACTTTCCGAACACCCTGTATATATATATATATATATATATATACACATATATATACAGGGTGTTCCCAAAAGGTGGTACCAAATTTTAGGGGTATGTAGTACTCGATAAAACAAACCAAAAACTCTTAATGAATAGTACTCCGAAAACCTCTCATTTCTGGGTTATAAAGCATTTTGTTCTGTGAAAAATAGAAAATGAATTAAATCTACAATAAATGTTCAATGTGCCTTCGGCTCCTGTCAATACACATTTCGGCATGTTTTGTCATTGAAGGTCAAAGAGTCCGGGTTTATTTCGTATTTGTTGACAACAGTTTCCAAGTCTCTTAGGGGGAATTCACACCTTGGCAGAAAAGCAGAAAGCAGAAAAGCAGAAGCCAATCAAAACTTGCGCTGGTCAGAAATAGCAATTCTATTTTTCTGCTTCTATTTATCTGCAAATGTTCTGAGGACTGGAAATTCTGAAATTCTAAAAACACTTAATTGTCGTTTTTCTACCATTATTGTAGAAAGAAATTGGTAAATATATGAATACAATAAATATATTCTTTTGCTTTTAGTAATAAATTCAGAATGCAACATCTATTATATTCATAACCTGTAATTATTTTAGATTAGATTATGTTAGATTAAAATATTAAAATATTTTTTTAATTCTTATGTATTCGAAGATTTACATTATGAGTGAAGAAAATTCTGGCAGCGACATAGAGACATTCTCTCCTGAGACTCAAACACAATACGGTGACGTGCAACGTAAGAGATATTTATATTCTGGTAAGTAAAGAGATAAATTCTTGCAATATATTTAAACAAACACTTTTGATATATCACATTGATTATCAAATTTTGTGATAAATATAATGATGTTAATATTCATTAAATTGTATAACATATAAATATATTACATATAAATATATTGAAGAGACAGAAGAGACCTGTGCTACTAAAGAAAACATGAAAAGTTAAGAAAAACTTGTGAATGAAATATCTGAGCATGTTCGGGATTCGAATGGAAAGAATGGTTCTCGTTGCCACGAGAACCACTCGGTTCGAGGCATCTGCGAGAGGACGGTCGTCGATGATTACAATCGGTAATAACATCGACTTCGTTCGTCCTCTCGCGCGCGTTGGTGGCACGCGAGGGTCACGTGCGGTCTCGTTGTCGCTAGCGAGCCGCTGGCTAGCAACGTGAGGCAGTTGCTATGACAACGAGAGGCCAAACACCGATTCCGCGAATCGGCGGGCGGCACGCGCCGCGAGACGTTCGCGTGCCTAGATGAAGAAAACCAAAAAAAGGGGCCTCAGCCTCGCGGTAGACTCGCGCTGGGCACGAGTCGTCACGTTTTTCTTCCTCCTGTGGTCCAATCCGCGCGCTCCAGAGCTTACTCCAGGGGGCTTATAAATATGACCGCGTACATCGGTCGTGAGCTTTTGTCTCGAGTTCGCTCCCGCCGTGCGCGTCGTCGCGGCCTCGCGTGGAACGTTCGCTCCAACCACCGTATTTCGCGGTTGCGGTCAAGTGCGCGCTATCAGTCTGAGTCGCTCATTGTCAAGTTCGGCGGAACTCTTCCCGCGCCGATTTCGGAGTCGCTCATTGTCAAGTTTAGCGCGGAACTCACGTGTGTGAAGTTGGCCCCACTTTTTCAAAATTTGAAAAAAATGAATAGAGTTCTGATTGCCCGCCAAAGAGTTCTAGAGTTCTCTATCAATAATAAAAATAGTTCCGTTCATTAAAGTGATGAAAACACGAAATGAAAGTACGGCGGGCCAACTTCACGATTGAGTAAATTGAAAAGGCTATAATTTTTTTACCGTCAACTTTATCGCTTAGGATCATAAGAATAATCGATAGAACTATTCGGCGGGCTATCAGAACTCATAAGAAAACACGAAAATTCAAAAAAAAATTTTCCCGCCAAAATTAAACAAACTGAGAAAAAATTTTCATGAAGTTTTTCGGCATTCCGTTAACGGCTCTGTATAGATTCTCACAAGACATACGATAATCTTTATGATTCTAAGCGATAGAACCGCACGCAAGTCACTTGTAACAAATAGAAAATCCGGGGGGCCAACTTCACGATTGTGAAAATTTAAAACGATAAAACTTTTTTTCCGTCAATTTTACCGTTTAGAGTAATAAGGATAATCGATAGAACTCTTTGG